ACGAGACAAAGATGGCGGTGGGTGGCGCCAGATTTTGAAATAACGACTTGGGAAATAAATTCACGATTTGAGAGTTTAGATGAGCTAGAAACCTAACCCTAACCCTAACCCTAACCCTAACGCTAAAAAGGGGCTTCAACGAACGACGGCTGCCGTACCTCCAGCCACTGCGTTATAAATATATAAGTTCTTACTCATTTTGAATGATTAGAAGTATTGGGAAATATGAATTGAATTTTTTTATGACTCAGCATGTGTGTCACTTTAGAACTAGTACTAGAAACTAGTCTAGTAAAAGTGCAAGCTGAGAATTGAAAAGTATACAAAATACCTCAATAACCTGCAAAGCCATCATCCAGGCGGGATATTGGATTCTGTCGCAACCAAACTTGGAATTTGCACAATCTTAAAGCCACAATATGCGCATCTACACGCTAATTTCTCCAGTACTAGACTAGCAAATACTTCGTGACATGCATAATCACACTACCTTATGACAAAATAAACTCTAGTTCCTCCCATTTCACTGCGCGTTTGCTTAAAACCCACAAGAAAGAGGTGCGAAATCTGGTAATCTGGCTGCAACGTCGAATTGTTTGCCAAGCAATTTCGCCCCGAATCGGTTAGGTGACGTCACATGTTGCTACGAGTGTTGAGCAGAGAATATATAGTCGTTTACATTTTAAGATGGCTATATGCCCGGCAGCCGGGCACAGTCTTCTATTTCCTAAATGCCCGGCAGTTCCTAACCCTAACCCTAACTTTTGGTTACTTGAGATAACGCTGAAAATTAAAAACTGCCGGGCATTTAGGTCGAAGACCGTGCCGGCAGCCGTCAGATATATGCCGGCTGCGGGGCATATAGCCACTCTGTTTTAAGATAGTTGTAGTATTGTGAACTGCAGTGTATGTAACATCAATGGCTATTGGGAAAGTAATAATAGGCAGCGTAATAAACTCTGAGAATAACGTATTGATTTTAGGCTTGATATCGCGAACGATAACATGTCATTGCGCTAGCAGCGTGCGAGCGAAAAACGCACACAGGCCATAGAAATCTTTGCTACACCCACTGTACGGTTGCTTGGCAGAACAACGCGAAAGTGTCAACAACATCAGAGAATTTGAACAACATTGGAAGTATTTTCAAATATAATACCCTTTATAAGACAACGCACACTGAAATGGGAGGAACTAGAGTTTATTTTGTCATAAGGTAGTATGATTATGCATGACACCAAGTATTTGCTAGTCTAGTACTGGAGAAATTAGCGTGTAGATGCGCATATTGTGGCTTTAACTTTTTAAGATAGTGCTGCCCAAACTATGGATTTTCAAGTTTGGTTGACCAATCTCAAGATTGGGCACGCTGAAAACCGTTGCTTATTCGACTACACTTGTTGCGTATGCGAGCATAACTGGTGCAAATTAGGAACGGATTTCTATTTAGTTATAAAATTATCTAATAGTAATATACGCTTAATCAATTATTATTTTAACAAAGATGCCAAACACATTGAAGAAAGCCGATAAGAACTCATGGTAAGGATATATAATCTAATAATCCTAATGGGTTTTGCCCAATCTGCAGATTGGTTGCCCAAACTGCGGATGTGCTGAAATTCCTAGTTTGTACAAGATTTAAAGTTTAGATACAACAGATTCCAAGCATGCAAATAAAATGCGTGCTGGCCGTGCTGCTTATAGCGTATACGTATACGGCTGGAGCGAGCTAGCTAGCTGGGCGGCTGCGGAGCGGCGCTGTTGATCGGGCCTTAGTCTTCTGATACTAGTATACTGGTATCTGGGACTGAAAATAAGGGGTTTTAATTATTTATTTATTTATTTTAATTTTTGCGTGAGAAATTCAGAGATGAGCGTGAGAATTGAGCAAAATGCGTGACATCCCTCCCTTACAAAAATAATCTATCGGTTACCTATAGGTTTACCTATAAGACGGTTTATAGGAATCTATAGGATTCTATTAGATATCCTATACAGGGTTCTCCCCAGGATGAAATACAAACAGGGGGGAGGGAAGGGGGAGGGGAGGGGGGAGGGTGGAGGGGGGGAAACTAGGGGGGTCCGGGGGGCGTGTTTTTTACCGTACCACTAATTAATGCGTGAAATCGCCACCACACCATAGATGGTATTTGGGGTTCTTGTATATATAAGATAGCCAAGTCGGTGTACAGTTAGTGTTGGATGTGGGACAGGTTAACTGTTTGTACTTGTGTATTGTGTGCAGTGCATGCGCGGCATGGGAAAAATACACGCGCCGGGTGTCCTGGTCGAATGGGAATTCTTGACGATCGATTCCCGCGCTGGCAAACTTTTATTGTGGAGGAATTTAATTGGGGCAGAGGTAATTTAAACGTGGCGCAACGATTGAAACAGGGGGGAGTTTTCCCAAACGGGGCGTGCGCGCCCAGTTTGCGCAACGTAGGTAGAACCCTGCTATAGGAAATCGTATAGGTAACCTTATAGTTTCTATAGGATCCTTTGTACAGATGTCTATATGATGTTATAGGATCCTATAGGAATTAACCTATAGGATGTTATAGGATCCTATAGGAATTAACCTATAGGATGGTAGAGGATCCTATAGGAATTAACCTATAGGAACCTATAGGATCCTATAGGAATTATGTTCCAATTCTCTATAGGATCCTATAGGATCCTTTGTAGAGATGTCTATAGGAATATTTATAGGCTTCTATAGGATCCTATAGGACCCCCTGTAGAGATTTCCATAGGAATACGTATAGGATTCTATAGGAATATTTATAGGATGCTATAAGACCTGCTGTAGAGATATCTATAGAAACATTTTGGGCTAAAACATTGCATTACATTTACAATAGAAATATGTTTATTCAAAAATGTGTACGTACGTATACACATACCGATGAAATAGCAATAATATAATTATGTAAAATTACAATTTTTACAACTTTATGAATCCTATTGATTGACGACTGATCTATAGGCTAATAAAAATTCCTTAATTTAAAAGCAATAATTTGCATGCACGAATTGCTATTCATCATACACATTAAAATATTATATTTCTGTTAAATAATACTTTGCTTCAAAAACTAATTTGTATTCATGTTAAACAATATAAATGATACATAAAACAAAGAACATGTAATTCCATGCATGCTAGAGGATGCAAACGATCGAAGTGCCTATATAATTCATGTTCAGTGCTATTCCTTGATCAGACGCTTTCCTTCTGTGTTCAGCAACTGAGTGACAGCTGCCTTTGTCTCTTTCACCATGCAACCTAAAAAGCAATTATAGGGAGTATATATATAATATATATATATATATATTATATATGTATATAATATATCTAAGCTATAGTAATTGACAATTAGTGCATGAAATCTGATCATTCAAGACAATAAAGTTTTATTAATGAATTTCATAATGTATATATATACCGCTTGCATGTCATCAGAAGTAGATAATAGGGCTGAGAGGGTCTATGTCCCCCGGGGTACTGCCGGAACGTACCCTGGTACTATCTAATATGCCGGACCGTACCTCGCCTACTCCACTAACGAGTCTAGGGAGTCGCCTATGCCTACTCCCTAACCCTAACCCTAACCATATCAAATAGTGACCAGGGTACGTTCCGGTATACCGGACCGTACCCAGGGTACGTTCCGGTATACCGGACCGTACCCAGGGTACGTTCCGGCAGTACCCTGGGGGACATAGACCCTGAGCGATAATAGGTTATATAGTTCCCTATTATCTACTTCTAATGTCATGTATGTTTGACATAACAGACGAATTACAGATTCACAATTTAAACTGTGATTATTTATCACAGATCACAGATTATACAGTGAATGAAGAGATACAGTAAAACTCGCATAAGTCGACAGTTTTGGGACCAGCATATCTGTGCCGACTTATGAAAATGACGACATACGTGTAAGCCGTCATTTTCTCGACTTATATGTAGGGCTCCCATCCCAGGTGCCTGTCACCCGTATGCATTCATAAACATGCTCCACACACGACGTCAGTTCGCACCACATTCATAGCAGACATGAAACAATTGGGTCCGTACATCAATCAACACCGCTGTTGGCCATAAAGGGCCGGACACACTAGGCGATTTTATCGGGAGACTCAGTCGGGCGACTAAATCAGGCGACTAAATCGGCTGATGTGTCCAGTCAGTTGCCGCCGATTTAGTCGCCCGATTCAATCGCATCGATCAAAACGTTTTGATATTATCGGGCGATAATCTCAGTCGCGCGACTAAATCGCGTGATGTGTCCACTCGACTCGCGCGATAGAATTGGGCGATAAAGTCGCCCGATTAGATCGCATTAAAATCGCCTAGTGTGTCCGGCCCTTAACGCACGTACATTGTACGCACTAGCGGCAAGCGCGGCACACGCTGGCTATCTGTAACACCCGCTGGCTATCTGTAACACCCGCTGTTGATTACATGTTTGGACATTGCAAGATATTTGCAGTGCAGGTCTGCCAAATTTTCTTGGAACACTTGCTAAAAAAATACGGTAATTCTGCAAGGCCGTGCTCTGGAACAAACTAGTTAGCAAACTAAGAATATCAAAATATATACGGCTCTGTTCTGTGAAATGTCAGGCCCAAGACTTAAAATACGGGCATCGGGCCCGCGGGTCCGTTAGGATTTTGAACCTTGTAGAATGATTTGTTTTATAATCTGACAAGTACATATACAGATATATTAGTTATATTTTGATCAAAATGCAATGGAATTCAGCATTTTGTATTTAGTTGTTGTATTTCCATTTTGCTTTAGGATAATCTTGATGTATACACATTTTAATAGTGCCATAAAGTGAGTCAACTGTTAAGAGTTCTTTGTATATCATGATTTGGAGTTTGAGCAACATATAAATAAAAAAATAATATTTCAGTATTTTACAGTCTCAATTTACACACTTTAATGACACCATGCAGGATACCAGACAGAACAGTAACTAGTGTAGCGCACTATGAGCGCCCGTAGGGTGCTGGTCTTCGAACAAAAACAGACTCGACGCTTCTTACTGATGTAATATGATGTTTATTCACACCGTGAAAACTAGAAAACAAACCAAAAGAAAATTAAATAAGAGAGGGTTAACAATGTCTTCCTTTAGCTATAAAGTACAGACTATACTATATACCAAACAGACATTACTATATATGTGAACAATACCTCTGACATATGTTCATACATGATTCTTAACCATATGGCATTCTATTCTTTATACAATATATCAGTAACATAAACATAATATGATCATAACAATTATTACACATAACCTACCGTTCGCGCCTTAGACCAGCTAAACCTTTATATCAACTCAATCCTGATCACTGAGATGGCGAGAGTATGTGACTGTAACCAACGATATTATCAATATTAAGTTACATTAAAGTTAACAGGCAATGTTATCTTCTGCACATCCACATAAAGCTTAATACGAAAAAGGTAACCAAAATGCACATTATAGCTCAAATATCTTATAAGTGCAACCAACATGTAACAAATCATACGGTATACTAACAGTAAGAAATATCCAAACGGACAATTGGCTGTTTGACACATACGTAAATGTAGCACATAAATTCACTAGATAAATTACAATACTTAATAGTTCACGTTATTACAATCTACCTCATGTAATCAACCAAGTACAACACTAATTCCTTACCAAAGATGCCTCAGAGTAACGTAATATACCATGATATAAACCAGGTGAAAATCGTAGTGGCCAATCAAATATGGCGTTCTGAGCAACATAGTGATCAGGTCCCGCACAAAAACAGGTAGACCAAACGGGCACACATGACGTGGCAAAACAAAACCTAATACAGTAGATGTAAACTGATTCAGCACCTACATGTCTACTGCTGACCTCGGCAGTTACACTCCCACCAATTACTCCAATGATTTATGATTCGCTACCTTACAATAGAAATAAATATTGAGTAATTTCTATGTATGACGCGCTTTAATAAATTGCCATCGACCAACCAAGATTAAACTAAACGGCGAAGACCGACGGACAGATCATTTACTCTCTACAAGGCATACTAGCTTTTGCACAGGACGTTCCAGGATAGTCTGCTTGCCTTCTCGTATTCCTAGATTATTCAGGTTCTTTGCACCAACTCGCACCTTGACCTTCCTCACTAAACCGTCTTTTCCCATAGTAGAGTCAACTACGATGCCCATGGGCCACTTGTTCCGCGCTACTTCTGGTTCCATCAACAGAACGATGTCTCCCACCGTAATATTCCTTCTTGGCTTAATCCAACATTGTCTTCTGTTGAGGTTCTGGAGATATTCCATTCTCCACCTACACCAGAATTGTTCAGTGAGATACTGTACTCTTCTCCATCTCTTTCGGAGATACATATCTTGCGGAACAAATTTACCTGGAGGTGGCAGTGGTGTACTGGGCTTCATGGTAAGAATGTGATTTGGGGTCAACGGCTCCAAACTTGTAGGGTCATTTATGGTGTCAACCGTGAGGGGGCGACTATTCACTATCGCCATGACTTCATAAAACAGTGTACGAAGTGAAGAGTCGTCCAATCTGCTTGGACAAAGTCCAACCACTACACCAAGGACACTTCTTATAGTCCGGATCTGGCGTTCCCAAACACCACCGACATGACTAGAATAAGGCACATTCATGAGGAAGTCACAATCTCTGTTTGCCAAGTAAGACGATAGCCTTTCCTTGTCCAGCTCTTTCAAGGCTGCACTCAATTCATTTTTTGCCCCCACAAAGTTACTACCTTGATCCGATCGGATCTGACGAACTTTCCCTCGTATGGCGATGAAGCACCTGAGCCCATTGATAAAGGCGTCAGTCGTGAGATCATCCAGGAACTCTATGTGAACAGCTCTGGAGCATAGACAGGTGAACAGGAGACCATATCTCTTAAATTCTTTGCGATTTTTCTTTGTAAGGAAGGGCCCAAAACAATCCATCGCACTAAATGAGAATGGTGTAGACGACTCGACGCGATCTTCTGGTAGATCTGCCATCTTTTGTTCTTGAGTAGGTCGTCGATTCTTCCTGCAGACTACACATTTATGGATAAGATCAGATGTCACCCTACCGCAACTGATGATCCAAAATCCATTTGCTCTAATTTCGTTGAGAGTAATACCACGGCCTTGATGGTACACCATCTGGTGATAATAAGCTGCAATAAGCTTCGAAATGTGACTGTTCTTGGGTAAAATGATTGGATGTTTGACCTTGAATGGGAGTGACGAGTTTCTCAGGCGGCCTCCTACACGTATTATCCCCTGATCGTCGGTAGGATCCAAGTCTATGACAGGAAAGGTTTCTCCTAATGAACTCTTGTTCCATGCACGCAACGCTTGAATCCAGGAATAATATTACTCCCTGTCGCTCATTCAGAACGTCTTCGCGATACTCTTATCGTAACTACCTTTAAGCATCTATCTCCGGAGTCTGGCAAAATGCCGAACTACAGGCGATCTGCAGCTAGAGATATTTGTCAGTCGTGGACAAGATGCTCGGAATCTACTGATTCCATCAACATCCCTATTGTTGAAACAGTNTTGTAGGGTCATTTATGGTGTCAACCGTGAGGGGGCGACTATTCACTATCGCCATGACTTCATAACACAGTGTACGAAGTGAAGAGTCGTCCAATCTGCTTGGACAAAGTCCAACCACTACACCAAGGACACTTCTTATAGTCCGGATCTGGCGTTCCCAAACACCACCGACATGACTCGAATAAGGCACATTCATGAGGAAGTCACAATCTCTGTTTGCCAAGTAGGACGCTAGCCTTTCATTATCCAGCTCTTTCAAGGCTGCACACAACTCATTTTTTGCCCCCACAAAGTTACTACCTTGGTCCGATCGGATCTGACGAACTTTCCCCCGTATGGCGATGAAGCACCTGAGCCCATTGATAAAGGCGTCAGTCGTGAGATCATCCAGTAACTCTATGTGAACAGCTCTGGAGCATAGACAGGTGAACAGGAGACCATATCTCTTAAATTCTTTGCGATTTTGCCTTGTAAGGAAGGGCCCAAAACAATCCATCGCACTAAATGAGAATGGTGTAGACGACTCGACGCGATCTTCTGGTAGATCTGCCATCTTTTGTTCTTGAGTAGGACGTCGATTCTTCCTGCAGACTACACATTTATGGATAAGATCAGATGTCACCCTACCGCAACTGATGATCCAAAATCCATTTGCTCTAATTTCGTTCAGAGTAATACCACGGCCTTGATGGTACACCATCTGGTGATAAGAAGCTGCAATAAGCTTCGAAATGTGACTGTTCTTGGGTAAAATGATTGGATGTTTGACCTTGAATGGGAGTGACGAGTTTCTCAGGCGGCCTCCTACACGTATTATCCCATGATCGTCGGTAAAGGGGTCCAGGTCTTTGACAGGAGGTTTCTCTTTGAACTCTTGTTCCTGCACCAACCTGACCAGGAATAAGATTGCTCCCTGTCGCTCTTGAACGTTCGCAATACTCTTATCCTTACTACCTTTAGCTCTTCTCCGGAGTCTGGCAATTGGTCGAACTACAGCGGTCCAGCTAGAGAATTTTGTCAGTCGTGACAAGATGCTCGGATTTACTGATTCCTTCACTCTAGTGTTGAAGACAGTCAAGTTCTTCACCTCAGGATCTTCTAGGGACAGTTCTTGCACAACCTTGGAGGGGCACTCAAAATTCGGGTTCTGTAGGAACTCCGGGCCTCTGTACCACGTAGACTGACGAAGAGCCGACGCCGTAAGGCCTCTCGAGGCATGGTCTGCTGGATTTGAGTCAGTCTCTACATGAAACCATTGATCAGGATCCGTGTTCTCTCGGATCATCTGAACACGATTGGCCACAAATGTATGGAAGCGTCTTGCTTCGTTGCCAATATATCCTAACACTACCTGAGAGTCAGTCCAGAAGATTTCCTTTGCATTTTGCAGGTGGAGTTCTTTCTTGAGCACCATGCTGACCTTCGCCGACACCACGGCTGCAGTTAGCTCTAGACGGGGTATTGTCGTAACTTTGGTCGGGGCTACTCTACCCTTGCCCATCAGCAGTGTGCAGTGTACCTGGTCATGCTCATCTTGGATCCTGAGATAAGAACACTGGCCATATCCTTGGGAACTTCCGTCTGAGAAGTGATGGAGTTGTATTTCTTTGACTTCTTCGAAATGATAGGGTTTCAGACAACGTGGTATCCGTATCAATGCAATATTGAGAAAGTCTGCTGTCCACTTCTTCCACTGAGGTGCCAACTCCGCAGGGAGAGGATCATCCCATCCGATTCCACTGCGACACATGCACTGCAGCAGTATCTTGCCCTTCAGAACGAATGGAGCCAGGAATCCTAAGGGGTCATACACTGAAGCAACCATAGATAAAATCCCTCGACGAGTCAATGCTGCCTGATTGTCTTCAATTTTGAAGAAGAATTCATCTTTCTCCACATCCCACTGTATCCCTAGCGTACTGGAACAAGGCATATCATCCTTGTTGAGGTTGACTTCCTTGACTGATGAGGCTTGTTCCTCAGAAGGAATCGATCGCAACACCTCTCTACTGTTGGAGATGAACTTACATAGACGTAAACCTCCCTGGCTGCATAACGTTCTGGCCTCTTGGATAAGCTGTACGGCCTCATCATTGGTTTC